TGAATATCGGGGTTCACATTGTCATCATTCTAAATTCTTAAGTGGTACTGAATCACATGTAAACTCAATGGTGTAACTACTTAAATGTAGTCATAATGCCTGTCATATGATTTTACAACCTCATGTGGTGTCCGTCAAGGCTGTCCACTATCCCCATTTTTGTTTAACTTCATTATAGACCTGTTGCTGGAAATAACACTCTCGTCGACTGAATTTTCAGAAATTGATCTACCAGGAGGTTCACTTATCGACTTAGAATACGCAGATGACATAGTCCTGTTTGGTGAAGACGCTGGCAAAATGCAGAGTCTTCTGTTAGAACTGGTTAATAATGCCAGGATGTTTGGGATGCGTTTCTCTCCATCCAAATGTAAATTGTTGCTTCAGGACTGGTCTGCGTCAACACCTGAACTAAGGATAGGGAGTGAAGTAGTCGAACGCGTCGACAACTTCACTTATCTTGAAAGTCTGATCAGCCCTAATGGGTTGGTGTCTGACGAAATCTCAACACGGATTCAAAAAGCTAGTTTGGCTTTTGCCAACTTACGTCACCTATGGCGAAGACGAGATATCCGTCTATCAATTAAGGGACGAGTATACTGTGCAGCAGTTCGCTCTGTTCTACTTTACGGCTGTGAAACATGGCCATTAGGAGTAGAAGATACTCTTAAGTTACTAGTATTTGACCACAGATGCCTTAGAAATATTGCTCGCATTTGCTGGGATCACCGGGTAAGTAATAGTGAGGTTAGACACAGGGTATTAGGAAATGATGGTAAATCAGTTGATGAGGTGATGAATCTTTATCGACTGAGATGGTTAGGCTACGTGTTACGTATGCCTGAACACCGATTACCACGACGCTCTATGATGACTAGTATTGGGGATGGTTGAAAGAGAGTTAGGGGCGGCCAAACCAAAACATGGCATCAGTGTTTGAAGTCACTAACTTCTAGTCTGAGCCATGTTGGCAGATGCAGACTACTTGGTTGGGGTCCGCGTGACTATCGTAACCAATGGTTGGAAACTCTGTTTGACATGGCTCAGAATCGATCACAATGGCGTAGGTGTATACACTCTTTATCTTCCCTTAAACCTTGAGATTAAAATTGCTTCATAACTTTTTTCCTTCCTATACTATATCCTTATATAAAACCTTTCTTTTATATTAACACCACTAAATTAATTACTTCTATGAATTCGGTGTTGATCTTGTTGTGCTAACGAGGTATGGCAACTTGGACCGAGGCATATATGTGCCTGGTCTTACGTTGTCGCCGACTGAGTCATAATGCATAAATGGCAAATTCAATAGCAAGTAACTTAAAAGTCGATCCGATACTTAGGTCATTCGGTTTTTTCATAGTTCGGACATTTTAATTTTAACCAGTCCATATTGCATGGCTTACCCAATTTATTATAGAAGACAATGACCACTTGTGTTGAAACTTTGGTGCACATGTCCAACTACAACCAGTTATCGGTATTACGCAATCACCTTTGATTACTTGAGGTGGATAATTGTTTTATATTCTATATGATTGAATACAACTGGTCATGACTTCTTAATAGAACTGCAGAAATTGTAACTTGAAACTAGTCACTAGTGATCAGATGACTTAAACTATAAAAATTGTACAGTTTCTAGAGATCTCTTTCCATACTAATATATTGAATTCTTTACACTAAAATCCTGTATGTACTGCTATAACTTTTGTGATACACTGTATGGTGACATGTGGTATTAAAAGTAGTATTCCACTTTCAAGCATTGAGATACCAACATTCTTAAATGTGAAGAAGTTACACTATTACATTTCCAGTACTTCTAACTATATATTGAAATTTTCATCCGTTTACGATCACTACAACTGATGTTGAGTATGACGTAAATGAGAAGTCAGGTGAGGCAAACCTACAGTACTTTGATAAAATATGAAAACCATGCTTGAACAGCTTCCTTCAGTCTTCCTTTACATACTTCATGATTCTTTCAATTCTGTTGTTATCACAATTGATCTCCTATTCCCGTCCTGTCCTCTTTAGTTCAATCTTCTTCTGGCAAGGATTCCACGTTCTCTTCTGTTACATATTACTTATATCTGTCGACATAAGTATCACTCATCACAAGTATGATCTCTCTTATTTATGAGGTCAATCCTCTTTGATGAAAGCGATATCATTTAGTACTTAGAATAATTTATTTTGATTTACATGAACGTTATTAAACTGACATATTTTTCCTTTATATGTTTTCAATGTATCAATTCAAAACTATTCTATGGCTCTTAACAAGATTGTATACCGATTATCCTCACTTTGTGTGAAACATGGCACAAATCCATGAAGCCACTGACAAGTGGACTAAGTGTAGACTACCTGGTTGGGATTCGTGAGATGATAGCAATCGGTGGTTAGAGACCTTGAATGACATGGCTCAAAATCCTTTGCAATGGCGAACGTGCATCCACTATTTGTGTTCTACCAAATTCTAATCTTCTGAATTCCTCATGTCTTTGTCTTATTCTCTTTCCAAATTTATTTCACTGTATTATACTCCTTCAATAACATCTTGAAACCCTAATCTTTCGGAATACTGTTTATACTCTTAATACTTTTACCACTATGAGATTTGAATCGACAACTGGGTCTCTGTGGTAATGTGGTATGTCAACTCGAACTGATGTACGTCAGTACGAAGTTCTACGTTGTAACTGATCGACTGACTGACGTTTCTACCAATAGTATTCAGCAATAAAGATGACAAATTGAAAATAGAAGCAAGAAAATAAACATTCAGTTATGAGGTAAATAAACAAGTGTATATTTCTATCAAGTCATTATTGGAAAAGGTTAAATGTATTACTAATAAATTAGTCACAAAGTTGAGCTTTATTTATGTTTTCTATACTTTAGTGATTCAATTCAATAACCTTCATAATTATACATTAACTGCACTCTGGAGTGCCGCATAGGGTAACTGACACTTCCCAGTTGACCATATCATAGAAGGACTTTCTTGTTAAGGGATCAGAAAGAGATACTTAGTTCATATTATTGAATCAAGGGATAACTGTTGATAGTTAATCACACGCAGCCCGTTTACGAGTAGTTCTAGATGTATTAGCTGTAGTGTTTGTATGAACTGATGATTTCTTTGTACTGGATGGCTGTTTGATTTCGAATTCCAAATACGAAACATTCTTTCGTGCTCATCTAATACTTCTTTGTTAAATTGTGTTATTTCTGGGATTTCTAGTTTGTACTATAATTCAAATGCTCATAATTATCACAATTAACGTCTTAGCACCAGATACAGAAATCTGTGGGTAAGATGTGATGTATTAATGTTAGGCTTAATATTTCCTAGTTCCCCCTTCCGTTGTGTCAAGTCAGCATCAATTAATATCCTAATAGTTTGAAGGAAATATCTTCCTTGAGTCACACGCCTATAGAGTCAGTAGTACTACTTCATCTGTTAAACTTAAGTTTGCTGTCTTTTATCTTATTGCTCTTCGTCTAACTTGTTTAGTATGTTTAGTATGGTAGGGCCTACAGGAAAGATTGTTCTGGTCATTATAGCTTGATTGGGTACAGATTACTCAGATTACGGTACAGATGCTCAGCTATCAAGTCGAGGTAACAGCTACAGTCAGGAAGTATATTCTGTGAGTGGGATGTGAATGAATTTTGTGAAGTTACGTCCTCCGAATCAGAACATTTAACTATAAAGCATTAATCGTATTATGAAGGTAGACAGAAAAGAGGAAGGGCGAAGATCACACTACTTCGGGAATTGGAAGCAGACATCAAAAGGATGAATAGCAACTGCAAAAAGTGGAAAGGATTGCCCAGGATAGGGTTGGACGGAGAATGCTAGTGGTCAGCCTATGCTCCTCAACCAGGGGTAACAAACGTAAGTAGTAGTGTAATGAACACAACATGACAGGAGACAATCGAATACATTTAGACAAACATTAAAGACTATCTCACTAAATTCTGATAACCATACAGAAAACAGTTACTTTGCAAACTATCAATCAATTGTCTCAATCTTCACTGTTCCTTCTGTAAATATCAGTCTATCTTCTCTAATTTCATTGTTCATGCATTTTCATACCAATTGCGCTTCATTCTTGTTCTTTCCTTATCGGTCTTATGCCAAAATACATTCTATATCTGACCATCATCATATACTACTTATATGGATATAAGTAGACCACACTACAGTAGTAGTCTTAATATTAGAATAAATAAAACTAAACAAAACTAATCTGATTCAAATACTAAGTATCATAAACCATAACAACTATAACCATAACATACTTACATTGTAGTGAACAGATTATCTCACTAAAATCTGACAACCATACAGTAAACAGTTAACTTGCAAACTATCAATCAATTGTCTCAATCTTAACTGTTACCTCTCTAAATATCTGTCCATAGTCTTCGATTATTATTGTACATGCATTTTCGTTTCGTCACCGGTCTTTCCTTATCGATCTTCTACTGAAATACATTCAATACTTGACCAGCATTATATATACTACTTATATGGATATAAGTAACCCACATCACACTTGTCACATCTTTATAGCAATCGTTCTTGTGGTGGTTCTACTCGCTGTGCAACTTTCTTCTTTTACTGCAGTCTGTGCCATGTTCACAGTCAGAATAACGAGTCTGCGGCTTGTTGACCTCCATAGCTCCGTCGACCTCCTTATCAATCTTCTACTGAAATACATTCAATACTTGACCAGCATTATATATACTACTTATATGGATATAAGTAACCAACATCACAATATGATGATTAAATCGATAATCTATAATCATATTGATTTAATTCTTAAAGAAAACTTTAACTTCATATCATAATAGAATATTTTTTTAAAAAACAACAACAAATACCATAACTGAACTTAAATATTCTAAAGTGCTAGTTTTTTCTTTTTTTTTCTTTTTTTCTATTTTTTTGTTTTGTTTTTGTTTTTGTTACTAAGACGGATACAATCACGTGTTATCGGTTTTACAAAATGTAATTTTGTTACTTCTTCAATGTATACAACAATAATACTACTAATAATAGTAATACTAATAATGATTGAAGAATAAAAAAACAAAATATAGTAGTCATGGTAACAATAGTAATAATAATAATAATGTACTAAATTAGATTTGAGCAACAAAACAAAACTCAAAGTTAACTTCTTTAATGAATCGATATTTTTTTCAAAATTCTTGTTCTTCATCATCTTCATCTAACATAATTGTATCACATCCAACTTCAGCATAATCTTTTTCTAATGCAGCAGTATCTTCTCGAGCTTCAGTAAATTCACCTTCTTCCATACCTTCACCAACATACCAATGTACAAATGCACGTTTAGCATACATTAAATCAAATTTACGATCTAAACGTGCCCATGCTTCAGCAATTGCAGTTGTATTACTTAACATACATACAGCACGTTGAACTTTAGCTAAATCACCACCAGGTACAGCTGTTGGTGGTTGATAATTAATACCAACCTTGAAACCTGTTGGACACCAATCAACAAATTGTATCGATTTTTTAGTTTTAATATTTGCTATAGCAGCATTAACATCCTTGGGGACAACATCACCACGATATAATAAACAACATGCCATATATTTACCAGTTCTAGGATCACATTTAACCATTTGATTACCAGTTTCAAAACATGAATTTGTAATTTCAGCAACACTCAATTGTTCATGAAATGCTTTTTCAGCTGATATAATTGGTGCATATGTAGCAAGAGGAAAGTGTATACGAGGATATGGTACTAAATTGGTTTGAAATTCCGTCAAATCTACATTTAATGCACCATCAAACCGTAATGATGCTGTAATAGAACTAACTATTTGTGCTATTAATCGATTTAAATTAGTATATGTAGGATGTCCAATACCTAAATTCTTTCGACATATATCATAAATAGCCTCGTTGTCAACCATAAAAGCACAATCTGAATGTTCTAATGTTGTATGTGTTGTTAATATAGAATTATATGGTTCAACTATAGCTGTTGCAATTTGTGGTGCTGGATAAATAGCAAATTCTAATTTAGATCGTTTACCATATTCAACACTTAAACGTTCCATTAATAATGATGTAAATCCAGAACCGGTACCACCACCAAATGAATGAAAGATTAAAAAACCTTGTAATCCAGTACATTGATCCGCTGATTTACGTACACGTTCTAATACTAAATCAATAATTTCTTTACCAACTGTATAATGACCACGTGCATAATTATTAGCTGCATCCTCTTTACCAGTTATTAATTGTTCTGGATGAAATAATTGTTTATATGTTCCACATCGTACTTCATCTACAACATTTGGTTCTAAGTCGACGAATATTGCACGAGGTACATGTTTTCCAGATGTCATTTCAGTAAAAAATGTATTAAATGCACCATCTAATTTTTCCTTTGTTTGATGATTTATCATATGACCATTTGGTTGTATACCATGTTCAAGACAATATAATTCCCAACATGCATTACCCATTTGTACACCAGCTTGACCAATATGTAAACTAATACATTCACGCTATTAATAGATAAATATTGATACATTATCATTTAAAATGTAACTTACCATTGTTTAATTGTAATCAGTATTAACTGGGATCTAATTAGAAGTTACGTAACACTTAGGTAATACACAATGAGGTAATCTAAGCTTTACACACTATCTATCTTCTTGTTTTGTTTTGTTCTTCTATTATAGAGAAACTCTTTTTTATATGATTTTTTGAACAGTATTTTAATATGAATTGTATTGGTTATAATCACATGTATCACTGACCTAAATACATGAATGTATACCATAGTAATAGAACAAATACCTGCCTGTTTGTCATTGAAGTGGCTTATCATTTCAGTTCATTTGTAGCTCATTCACACACACATACACCACACACACACACACATACATACATACATACATACGTACGCATAGTACATATAGTACACAAATAGCACATTTATTTATGTTGAAAGTATTCTTCAGTTCACTTCAATTATGATATATCCTGTAATATTAATTATTGACTTTTCTATCAATATACAAACATAAATATAGATAAACTTGAAATATATGATTTTACTGATTTATATCAGAACGATGTTGTTGTGGATATGATAGTAAATTTATAGAGTTGAGATCATGAATCAATTGAAACTAGACCATCATGGAAAACATGGAATCACTGGAAGGCGATTTCGTCCTATTGTGGGACTCCTTAGTAGCAGTGGTCAACCATGACCCTGCCTCATGAGATTCGAACGTAGGACCTGTTCGTTTCGCTCGCGAGTGCTTAACCTCTAGATTACTGAGCTGGCCGGCACCCAACAGTGGGAATGTTTAACTTCAACCAACCCACGAAATTGAGCAACCGTTAACTTTTGTCTTCAGTGAGCTACTATGTCACTACAGACTTGGTTGAACTACTCTGGTCACTGCTTCTCACTAGAACTCCAGGAAATACCTCTTGAAGTCAGTCACTAGTGAGGATATTATAGTAATTTTAATAGTTGAAATCATAAATCAATTGAAGATAGACCACCATGGAAAACTTCAAAGCACTGGATGACCCTTTTCGTTCTATTGTGGGACTCCTCAGTGGCAGAGCGTAACCATGATCCTTCCTCACGAGATCCGAACCCAGGAACTATCAGTTTCGAGCGTGAGCACTTAACCACTAGACCACTGAGCCGGACGGCATCCAACAGTGTTAATATCTAACTTCAACCGATCCACTAAATTGACCGACATTAACATCGCTGAATTCCGGCTCAGTGGTCTGTCAGTTAAGTGCTCTGACGCGAGACCAGTAGGTTCTGGGTTCGAATCCCGTGAGGTGGGATCGTGGATGCGCACAATGAGAAGAAACGGCCGTCAAGTACTTCCATGTTTTCCACGGTGGTCTAGCTTCAATTGACTCATGATACTAACAATATAAGACATTCATCAATGTCTTCAGTGAGTTAATATTGTGTCCTCACAAACAAATGCCCTCAAAAGACGTGGTTAACTCCAATGATTTTTTAAGGTAATGAGATGGTAGAGAAGATTTGTATCTAAGATGGATCATTTTGATGGAATTTTGTTCTCTGAGTTAGATGGTTTGGTCGTGGAGCTTTCATTGTTTTCCTGAACGACATAAGCTGCATAAACTTTAGGTAGAAGTGAAGTGTTCGAATTTCTCCACATGTGGTTCACAGTTTATCCTGTACACCTCGATATTGATTGGTTCTTGTTGACCATAAATCTGTCATTGTTTACTTGTTTGTTTTGGTTGTGTCTCCCGTTGGTTAAGGTAATTGATAACTTACTATGATTAGATAATATTAATGATGACCAGTATATATGATACACATAGTTAACGATTTACCTATTAGTGTGGGGTTCTTGTTTTAGTATTGAGTATTTACTATACAACTCCAGTTAGTCATGTTTTTTTTCTTTTTCGTTTAGATCAGAGATTGATCTTATTCGAGCAATCATTAGAAAAATAGGAAACGCTGGACAGATGTTAGGTTCTAGTGTAGGACCCCCGGACCAAAATGCAGCAACCTGTAGTGACTGACGCTATGTCAAGCTCTCATAACTCATCATAACTTTTGGACAAACCAATCTATCTATTCTCCTCAAGCTACATTTTGATCTTGTTAATTATTTACTTATTATCCTTGGCTGTTTATATATGAGCATATGTATGTGTATATCTTATCCTACTGATCACATATCTGTAGTTTACTTTTGTGTGACTATTAATATTGATTAACGCTTGATTAAATTGAGTTGGTTCACATGCCTTCTCTATTGCTTGTCGTTTTGCTTCACTTCGTTTCTTCGATTGTTTGTCTGGATCAACAATTGTATGAAATATATGCATTCAAAATCCATTCTCGTATTGAACCTATTTAATTCTGTAATTCACTAACGCGATTTAAGTCGATAATTTTATACGAGAATTCATGAGATGCATATTTCAATAACAATCAGATACGATCTAGCTGGATTAAGATTGAGGGCTACTAAAAACTATTCCACCGGGGTTGAAACCCAAGAACTTCAGGTCCTGCTATGAGTAATTAGCCTACAGACCACTAAGTTGGTACCTAATGGTTTGCATTTCTAAGTTCAATCACTTTGCAATGTCATGCATCTCTCATTCCATCCCATTAGTGTTTAATTGCTTCGCTTTTAAAAAAGAAACTCCATCGGTGACTAATAATAATTATGTACTCATTGATGAGTAATTTGGCAAAGCAAGGATCACATTCCTAAAACTGAAGGACATATGGAACTCGAAACAACTGTCTGCAAGCCAATACCAAAGTCAGAATTTTCAATACGAACGTCAAGATAGTTAGTTATATTGTGCAGTGCTGAAACGTGGAGAACTACTACAACCATAAGCAAAAAAAGTACAAGTATTTATAAACAGTTGTCTAAATAAGATACTCAACATTCACTGGCCGAATACTACTACTGTGGGAGAGAACAAACTATCATCCAGATGAAGAGGAAATTAGGAAAGACGCTTGAAGTGGACAGGACATGCATTAAGGAAATCACCAAACTGCATCACGAAGCAAGCCCCAACTTAGAATCTTGAAAGGAAACGGAAAAGTGGAAGGCCGAAGAACGCATGACACCGGAAAATAGAATTAGATATCAAACGGATGATTAACAGTTTCAAAGAACTCGAAAGGATTGTTGAGTACAGAGTTGGATGGGAAATGCTTGTAGTCGGCTTCACTAGCTAGCATCAGCTGATGAGTGATTGAAACCAGAAATCATGGAGCTCCAAAATAACGAACCATTGAGTTCTAAACAGGCTATGGGGTTTTCTCACTGTTCTGATGTAAAGATCTCTAGAAGTATGAGGAACACAGATCTCCAATGTTTTCTTAATTTTGAATAATTCTCTGATTGATATCAATCATGTTTGAAATCTATCGTTAAACAATCTTACTACTAAAAATTTTCTAATAGTTCAAGATGTAACATTAATTTTGTTGAAATGTATAGTACAATGGTGTGAAGTTATATTCACTTGTTATTGTTTACTTGTATCTTCCTATTGTTATTTTGAACTGTAATTGATCAGTCTCATGTTGGCATATGTGTAGACTGTGAGAACTGCCTCGATATTGTCTAAAGTCATAAGCTTTATAGGCAAAGATGGATGGTCGCTAGCAGCGGAGCCCAACTTTGCTTATAAATTTTGTGGCTTCAGGCATTATCGAGGTAGTCCTCACAGTCTACACATATGCCAACATGAGACTGATCAATTACAGTCCAAAATAACAATAGGAAGATACAAGTAAACAATAACAAGTGAATACAACTTCACCTCATTGCACAAGCAGGTGGCTATCAGGACTCATTAGCTAATTGAGTAATGTGAGGGCTTTTGAAGCGAACGGTGCCGGGCTCGAGTCCCAGAGTGAACATCAACTCCGAGATGCAGGTGTAGTGAACTGAACACTGGTTGGGGACACTCAAATGTATTAAAGCAAAAATTACAGACTATCTCAGTAAATTCTGACAACCATACAATGAACAGTCAATTTGCAAATTAACAACCAATAGTCTCGATCTTCGCTGTTTCTTCTCTAACTCCATTGTTCGTCCATTTTCCTTCCGATTGCGCTTATTTTCAGTTCTTTCCTCATCGGTCTTCTGCGAAAACACATTCTATGTCTGACCAATACCATATACTACTAATATGGATATAAGTAGACCACACTACACAAGTACATCCAGCTGACCAGTCCCAAATAGGACGAAACGCGCTTCCTGGATTCCACTGCTAGCCGCTATCCATCTTTGCTTATAAAACATGGTTAGGGTGGGTTTGTTAGACACTGGTTAAGTTCATTAAAACATTTTTGTAAATTATTTAAAATTAAAGATAGTAAAACAACAGTTGTCGCTGAGATCGGCTAACTATAACATTATATTATCAAATATGTAACTGTTGTATATCGGCTTAAAACTTAAAACTACATCGTTCTCACATTCTTGTTGCCAATCCGACTTCTCTTGTTTTTTCTGTCTCTTCCACTCATTTTCTTCTTCTTTTAGTAAGAACCCTACTTCCAATAACCGATACGTACTTGTTAACATGACAACATATTTGCGTTCTAGTTAGGCCAGTCACGCGTTCTCGATCCGAGTTGTATTGAATTCTTGTAGAACAGATACTGGGAAGATATCTAGTCTAGATATTTGTTTAACGTGAATTAGTGTTCCGTTTGTGTAAGGGGGAAAACCAAGCGTCATTATAGTACCACTTAGACCTGCTCGTATAAATAGCACACGCCACAATACTACATTGTATATGAAGAAGTCAAACCAATGACAAAAACCCCTTCTAAAAATAAATACCCTTTCTAAAATCTTCTGGAAAGAAACATATTTTTCAACAAGGAAGTCTACATTCCCCTGAGATTTGTTCAACAAAATTTATTGTTTGACAAAATCCAGTAAATGAAGTTAAAGTTCATCAAAAATAAAGAAATGGAAACCACTTCCTTACTTACGCCTGTTACTCCCGATGGAGCATAGGCCACCAACCAGCATTATCCAACACACGCTGTCCTCGACCTTCCTTTCTAGTTCTATCCAACTGTTGTTCATTCTTCTCATGTCCGTCTCCATTTCTCAGCGTGATGTGTTCTTTGATCTTCCTCTTCTCCTTTGACCTTCAGGTTTCCATATGAGGGCTCGCCTTGTGATGAAGTTGGGTGATCTCCTCAATGTGTGTCTTGTCCACTTCCAGCACTTCTTCCTGATTTCTTCCTCCGCTGGAATCTGGTTTGTTCTCTTCCACGAAACTCTTTCCTGTGAACTTAGATTTATATGAGATTCATTTCGCATAAAATAGGGTTGAGCAGATATCTATTTGTTTAACAGTGATTTTA